CCGCGAGCTCCGAGATGGTGCTGGAGGCTGTAAGGGGAGGCGGAAGGTCAGCAGGAGGAACCTGTAGCCCCAGGTAGGGACGGGCTGCCATCCCTCCTGGGGCAGAGAGACTCTGGCAAAGCTGCCCCGAGCACTTGCTGCCAGGCCTTGCCTGGCTCCAGCAAAGTGCTACACGGCTGACTGCCTCTTACCCGTACCCAGGCCAGCACAGCTGTCACACTCCCACGTAGCTGTTGTGTTGCTCAGGTAGGAGCACTCTCGGTGAGTGCCTTCAGCAGCACAGGAGCTGCACACGATCAGCTGCCAGGGCCTGGGGAAGCAAAGGGGTGTGATGACCAAGTGAGCCATGCCAGGGAGAGCCCAGCACAGCACATCTCTGCTGCTCAGTCTTTGCTACCCCAGCCTCTGCTGAGGCTGAGATCTTCCACGAAGCTCCAGAGAGCTGCTGTGGTAACTCACCCCCTTATATCTGCCTGATCTCTGCCTTCAGGGTGACGGCACCTGATGGCATTGCAGCGCCTGTGCCTCTGTAGAAGTGATGCATATGCATCATTGTCCTCCTGTTCTGGTTTTCTACAAAAGAAGGGAGGGAAAGTGATGAGGCCCCAGCATCCCCAGCATCAGATCCAAGGTTATCCCATTTCCTCCTCCCCAGCTCCATTTCCAGCTTCTCCATGAAGCTGAGGCACGTGCTATTGAGACAGCAAAGGTCCAGGCCTGCCAAGTCACTTCCTGGGCAGGCCTAGCACTCGTACCTTCTCATCTGCATGGTTTAGCAGGACACCGACCTGTCAGGGATTTGGATCCCAATGATGGACATTTCCACTAAGAACAGAAGACTGTCTCGACATCCAGGGCACCGGAAGCATGAATTGCCAGTTAAGGCCTGTTGCTGCAGGAGAAGAACAAGCAGGGTGAGCGTGAGCAGAGCCTGGTGCTGCTGAGCACCAAGCATGTCTGCAGGGTTAGGGGAGGGCTCCTACCTGGATGCAGCCCCGGTGGAACCAGGCATGTTTGCATGCTGGACACACCAGGGTGTGGTAGGACAAGCTGTCCCCCACAGGCCCAAGGCAGATGACACAGGTGGTGCCTTTTGATGGAGCTGTCACTGCTGTCTGTCGAGGGCAGTGCTCAAAGCAGAAGGACCTGCGGGAAGATGGAAGGGATGGGCACGCTGAGAAGCCATGGGTGGAGGGCAGAGGACCACGAAGGAGCCCCAGGCCCTGGCTCTGGCTCTGGCAGGCTGCTGGGATCCTCCCTGGCTTGGCTGCTGCTGACAGCCCTTACCTGTGCTGCCCAAAGAACTGGGTGACGCATTGCCCGTCCTTGGCACACGGCAGGTGGAAGCTTCGTCCACAGCTGCTCTCAGCACAGTTGATGGCAGCACCCCTCTCTCCACAAACACAGCATTGCTGGAAAGAGCAGAACAGTCCCATCAGCAGCAGGCTCAGGCCCTCCACAGCCGGCCCCACACCTCTGGGCAGAGCACAGGATGTGGGAACTGCTTGGTCACACTCTACAAAGCCGCCTGGCAGACAGGGCGCAACTCCAGTCGCAGGACTTTGTCCTGGAGGCAGTTGGAAAGGCTGCAATTGCTTTCTTTGTGTCCAGGCTAAGCCGGTGTGAGGCTCTCGGGGCACAAATCTGCCTGCTCCGTTCAGGTCCTCACCTTCTGGTTTGCCTGCTTGACCTTGCGTGTAATGTCATCAAGGGGGATGCCCACAGTTCCATCTCTTGAGAGTGTTTCTGCATAGAAGATGTTGGCAAAAATCTGTAGAAGGCAATAAAGCAGGATCTCATTAGGACAGGAAGGGGAGCATCCCTGGCAGTAATCTGGAAGGAGCCCTTGAGGGAACTCACCAAGCAGAACTCATGGGCACGAATCCAACCCTGGCCAAATGTGCGCCCAAAGATGTTTGGGTCATTATCTGCCTGGCCACAAAGCATGCATGCTGAAAAGAAGAGAGCAAATATGAGCAGGAGTGAGCACCTTGGGGCCAGGTATCCCTGTGGGTTGTCCCCAGGGTCCTGCTCTGTGCTTTCCATGTTGGCTGAGGGGCAGGACTGGTGGTGGTGGTGGTGGAAAAGTTCCCAATGAAGCCTCAGAAGTTCCAGCGGGCAGCTGCAGCCCAAGTTGGACCCCATTGCCAAGTAGTGGAGGGACTGCTACACGGTGGCTGGGATCCCCTAACTGCTCCTTCCTTGCCCCTCATCTGCAGGCACACCCCAGCACTCCTCTGGCTGTTGGCAGAATCTGTGCTCAGGGATGCTGTGGTCTTACCTGGCTCCTCCAAGCTGGAGGCTTTCCTCTTCCTGTTGGACATCATTGTGCGTTGATAGTGAACACTGCAAGAGTCCCTGCTCTCTCTGCGTCTCACTAGACCACACTGACGCTCAGCCTAAGCCTGGCAGCCTTTGCTCTGCTCCAAGCTTCACACGTCACAATGGCCGTTCTATGACACCCACTGTGACATCACGGTCACAGCCTCATGGTGACTGTGGGCTACAGCATCTATGAACATCTTAAATCCAACAAAACTTCAAATATAAATCAGCATGCTGCAGAATGGAAACAAAATCCAGAGGCTTTTTCCCTTGTTTAACTTTACTCTTTCCCCATGCTTCCATGCCAGTCCCACATGCCCTGCTCTCCCTGTGTGTTGCCTATCGTAGGCGTGGCGACCTGGTTCGGGAACGGCACGGCGACCAATCCCAGGTTGCTCAGTCCATCGGCTCGCTGACACCAATGTGGTGGACGGCAAATGGCGTTTATTGGCGGGAAAAACGGCCTTATATAACCTGGGCACTGAACGCTATTGGCTATCGGGAGGGGGACCCTGTCTTCCTGTACAACGCGATATCTTCCGGGCGCCAGACCCTCACTACCACATTTCCCCCCACCCTATGCACAATTAAATTAGGTAAAATATAAGAATATATAACAGTCTTCAATAGAAAACTTGAATAGAACAATCTTCAATAGAAAACTCAAATAGAAAACAAGGTGCTCTGAACAAGAACATTCTTATAACAGTTGTTGGTGCTCTACCAACATGATGTTAATCGGAAGAGAAAGGGGGATGGGCTGTGGCCTCAGGCACGCTCCCCACAGATGCGCCGGGTGAGCTGGATGTCCTCGAAGAGCCCCACCAGGTAGGCCTCGCTCGCCTATGGCTGGGCTCTGGAAGCGCAGGTCGGTCTTGAAGTCCTGCGTGATCTCGCACACCAGGCGCTGGAAGGGCAGCTTGTGGATCAGCAGCTCCGTGGACTTCCGGTAGCGGCGGATCTTGTGCAGCACCACCGTGCCGGGCTGGTCACGCCGCCTGTGGCCGGCACACTCTTGTGGGCCGCCTTGGTTGCAACCGGGCCTTTCGCTTCCGCAGGCAGGGTCGACGAGTCGACTGCTGCCTGGAGGCAATTTACAAATTGTGTAAAGCTCTCACTTTCATTTTGTCTTATGGTGGACCATGGCGATGGCTTAACAATAACTTTAGAGGCTGTGCGAATAGCATCCCTGGCCGCACAAGTAGTTGTCATAACTTCATGGGGATGGAGGCCCAGGGCCTGTGCTTGGGAGGTAATCATTGTTGGGTCTGTACCCATCAGCCGCTGCAGGCTGGAACCATGTAGCGGGTGATCTGCCCCAGTTAGTTGAGCTAGTTAGTTGTCTTGCACAGTTATCTTCCCATTCTTGTTTAAAAACAATCATCCCTGCTCCGTCAAAAATTAGTCTACAGGTTTGTTTTAGGTCAAATGGGAGCATATCGTCTCCCCCAAAAACACCATCTATAAGGGTGGAGACCATAGCTGAGTTAAGCCCTTTATCTGCAACTGCCTTAACAATTGCTTGTATATCCCTAGGGCTTATCGGCGAGTGGACCCTCTGTCCCCCATCCACCACCCGGACCGGGAACGCTAGTGTGGCCGATGGGGCCCAGTCGGCGCATGCGATCTTTATTGTCCTCCAGTCTGTAAGAGGGATTTCTCCCCCTCGCGGTTTCTCTTTAATTTGGATGGGAACATTTCGGCTCTTAACTCTGTTCGCATTCATTCCCTCCTCCGAGTTTAAGTCAATTGCGAACCACTCGTCGCAGCTACTGTCTGATCCGGAGCCAGAGCCCGACTGAGCGGCCACTTCCGGTTTCCCGTACCTTTTTGTTAGGCTCCGGCCCCGCCCGCCCCCCTTGCGGGCAGGCCGTTCCCTGCCTCTTGGTTCGTCCCGCCCTCTGCCCAGCGGGATGTTCGCCCCACAGCGGCATTTCTTCAGACGGCCGCTCTGATTGGCTTTCCACCCTTCACTCACGCTCCCCTCACCTTCCCGGTCGCTCCCACCGCCTTTATCTAACACCTCCTCGATGTTCCCGCCGAGGGCGTCTTCCCTCCGCCCTCCTTTTCCTGGCTCGGCGTCATCTTGGGGCGCATAGGGGGGCGGTCGAGCCCAAACTTCCTCAGGCTCTGATTTCCCCGCGGCAGCCCTGGCCTCCTCGATTAACCCACCCCAGAAGGATTTAGCACGTTTCTGTCCCTCCGTGGGCGGGTCGGGGTTCGATTGAGAGGACACGTCATCGTCAGAGGGGTGCAAAGTCCGCATGGCCGCCCCGACTCCCAGTCCCGGGGTGGCCAACAAACGGCTCTCTGTCGCCCTCCAGGTCTCCCGCTCCTGCATGGCCCTGCGCAGGGCCCGCACGGCTCTCCCCCACGACTCTAGAGCACTGAATATAGAAAGCAGTTTGGAATCAACTAGGATCATGAAACCAACAACATGGTAGACACCTGAAAACTCTGATGATGCAGGGCTGGCTCTCTCTTCTGTATGCTACACTCATCTGACTTCAGGAACTTTGGTTCACTTTGGGCTGAGCTGCTGTCAGCAGCTGGGATAACTGACTACAAACCACCCAAAAATGGGATGCCTGGGACGCACTCAGCAGCTGCTCTGATGTTGGGATTTGGGAAAGGATTAATGTAATCTGCACTATTAAAGAACAACAAGGAAGGAACACAAACATGCCTGTTACGTACCCAAACTTTTCTTTACAACAGCTCTTTTCTATTTAACTTTGCTATATTTTGAAAATATATACATTATTGTCTCTGCAGTGAAATATGCCAAGTGGGCATCCCTGGTGGTAAAGGTGCCACCCTGCCTGTGTTATCTGGGAGAACAGTAAGACAGTAGAATGTACAATCGCAAGGGTCCTCTGTCAAAACAAGCAAGACAAATCAACCAAAAATATTTGACCTGGAATGTAAAATTCCAGTGCTCCCAACTCATGCAAGTATTAAAGGAAAAGAGAGGAGGTTCAGGCTGAGAAGGAGGGAAGAGGAAAGATTTGATTAGGAAAGTTGCAATGGGGGCATAATGGAGGAATGGGAACATTACAATGCACCAGAGAGTCTTGAGTTGAATACTGGGAAATGACTATCAAAATACAGACAGATGAAATTATAAAATGATGAAACCAGAGCACTGAATAATATTCTGCTGGGGATTGTTTTACTGTGCTGCAAATAGCAAATTTCAGCTTGTCTCCACTTCAAAATCCTTTATGCAAAGAAGACCTTTGGCAACTTATACCTGAATTTGGCATTACAAAGTAACTTTAATCCTCAGTGACTGCAAAGCACTTTCTAGACAAACCTCATTCCGCATTGGAACAGGGAGGAGGAGGGGACAAATTTTGTAATTTTTCTCCAAGGACTGAGTTATAATGGAAATATTTATGCAGCAATCAGAGAGTGGCTGTACACCATGCAGATATGCCTCTGAGAACTTTCAATAGCTAAATAGCTGTCTTGGGGACAGAGACCAGGGCAGCATCCATAAAATGAACACTCATTTCTTGCTTCAGACCCTGCCTGAGGCAAGGGTTATGCAGGAGCTGGGCATTCTTTTTTTGCTGTTGTTGTAGTTCTTGACCCAGATGACTCCAAAAATCAGCTGATAGAAAACAGTGGCATCCTTAGCTGGAAATACTGCTGTGTGGGTGCACTCTGGAGGACAAATTAGCCCATATGGATCCCTGGAGCTATAGTGAGTAGCCAGCAAAGTGAAAGCCTATGGAGAAGAGATGTTTCCCCCACGAAAGAGCCTTAATCAGGAAGGAAGGATAATTACCTAGCTAATCTTACAAGGAGGAAGAAATATTGCAATTTGCAGGATAAAACCTTAACTAGATTCTGGAAGTGGTCTATGGATCACTTCTATGGTGTTAAGGGAAGGAGGCAGTAGCACACCAGGGCTAATCCTTTACAATTTTAGGCATGTGGCTCAGCTTTCCTCCCAGAGAGTGGCCAAGTATAAATGGAGATGGGAAAGGGACTCCCTGGGAAGGAAGCAATACTGCAAAGTAAGATTTTGAAGGATAGAGTCACTTGGGAGAATCCCCTGATGTTGATGGAGTGGTTAAGGTCCTCTTTCACCTTCATCCCACTCCTTTCAAGGCTGTTTTCCAACAATTGAAAAAAATCCCATTTTCCTTACTGAATCTGCATTAGACTGCTGAAACAGTAGAACAGAATGATAAAGTTCCTTAGAGCATTTTGCCCGTTTTTTTTTCACAGCATGTGATTCCCAAAATGAAGGGTAGCCAGAAGATCGAGTCTAAGATTATAAATAAAAATTAGATCCTGAATCCTAAGAGGCTGTAAACAACCCAACCATCTGTAAATCCTACATTCCATGGGGTAGGTCCTGCTCAAGGAGGATGAAAACTCAGTACAGACATGCTTCTCTTTTCTGCTGTAGAAGTATTTTCCTGCTAAGAATAATGAATGGGCAGAGCCAAATTGCTGCCAGATGATCCCAATCAGCTGTTGTTTATATCAAGACCCTGGAAGGCAGGTCAGTCAGGCTGTTCTGACCCTAATATTGTCTGTTGAAAAATAATCAATTTACAAGGCTGGGATGAGTGACCTGTTAGCCCTGTTTGTTGATCCAAAACATAATGGCTCAATAGCTTTAATTATTAAAGCCAGGAAGATACAACCATTGATCCTCCCATTTAGTGCCATCTCTCTAGCCTGGATATCAGAATTTTTATCAAGGACATTTGGAAGGAAAAAGGGAGAAATAAAACACCTTCAACAACTGATCCACTGGCATCACCTCAATTTTGGACCCTGATATTGATAGTACGTCTCCTTCAGCCTGTGCATTACATCTTCTCGGAGCAGTCAAAGGATGGCACTTCCCTGAGAATACAAGTCCTGACTTTTGGCTAATAAAACATTGAAAAGACCATTTATGAGTTGACCCAGATCATCTTTTCTCTCCAACAGTTCAAAAAGCAGTTGGTATAAAGGACATAAATTGAGTTGGCACCAAGAGGTAATTGAAGATTGTAATTACTCAGTTTTTATAAAGCTGGAAATGTAATAAGGATCTTAAGAAAATAATAACTGAAGCTTTCTGCAGAGAGGTCCCCTGGTGCATACACTTTAGCTAAGGGCCTAGCTTTTTGGAAATACATTTTCTTGTAGTTATTACATCACTGTCTTGCTGGGACATCTCTCCTGAGCCTTTCTAGCTATAATGGGCTTTGCTAAATCTGAATATACTTTCTGCATTCTGACTTACTGTGTTGCATTGACACATTCAATACAGCAATAATTCAGAGAACAGAAAACATCCCCATTCATATGCTTTACCTTCTCTGAGCTCCTGGCTTCCCTTTTCAAAGCTGGCAGATTTCTGTCAGTCTCCCAGTTTTTCTTTCTCCTTTGGAAGTCATGAGAGAAAAGGATCTGATTCAGTATCTCAGAGGCATATGCACCTTACATGGTAGCTCCTAGGCTTTGTGGACAAAAATTGATGCAGATTTTCCCAGTGGGCTCAGAGAACATTTCATCTTGCTGTGAGTTTAGT